CATACTTTTGTTGATATTTAGGCCCGCAACGCTGAATTATTACTTGAGAAAGTGCGCCAAGCGAGCATCGCTGTAGCTGCTCAAAGGTCACAAGGTGTCTGTGCCCTATACGAGCGCTTGAATGATCTTGGCATGAGTGATGTAGAAACACCGACTGAACTGTTACAAGGGTAAGTTACATGCTTTTCCAAGTGTTTTCTCCATTTTTTCTGAGTGATGATGCATTTATTCTATCATGACACTCTTTGGAACCTGTTCAATGCTCTTCATGCTTTTTTATTGAATTAAGGTCAAAACAAATTGTTGCGCACCACAAGGATCTGAACCAGCGAGTTTCTTGTTTTGAAACTGAGGTATGTTGCGGGTTCACATGAGTGTGGAGTCTTATTGCTGTATAAAATGCGATATCCTAACCTTTCTCAACTTCATTGGGTTCAGGTTGCAATGTTAGAGGGACGTGTACGTGCTGTGCGACCTTATGGGGACAAACTTGTTGAAGCCCTCCACTGTAAGTTTGTCCTTCGTTTTATAGAGATTTGTCTTAGCCGTAATTCGTTGGGGTGATGTAATATGCCACTTTTCAGCGATTGGCGACAATCCTCTGAACGTTGAAGATTTACTACAGACTGTGCTGCAGCAGACAGGTGGTGATACCGCTGCCTCTGCGGCACTCCGTCTGGAATCTGAAAATGAAGGCGTCGAGGGTATGCTTCTTTCTCCCGGCGCCGGTCCAGCGAATATTGGCAACGCAACTCATGCCGGCAACGTATCACGAAGACCTCGTCAGCGTCCTCGAGCAGGACCTGGAGCACGAGGAAAGGGTAAACCAGAGGAAAACTCCGAAGAAATGCAGCGTCAAATCAACGAGATTGTTCAAGCTGTGGGTTCTCAAAAATATAAATTTTTGGCTATTTTCTTATTCTCCTTAAGCTGATGAGGTTATATTATTATTAGCTTTTTGTATTGGAATTTACTCGGTATATTTTCACTATATATGACTGAAATCAAACTGTTTTAACTGTTTCAACTTACATGTAGTTTTGTCTCAATGAAATTGACGCAATGTTTCAAGTATAAGATATGCAATCCTTTTAGCTTGGTTGTTAGGATGGCATTGCAGATTGAGGAAAACGTTTGATCGTGGGGGTTTGTGAGACTATTCAATTGTACTGGATCATTTTTACCTAATGGGAGTAACTCACCAGTTGCTGGGACGACTTCATCATACATTTTTGTTTTAGGCGCTAAAAGTCGACAGCGCAGCTAAAGAGAAGGAAAGGCGTTCCAGAGGAGCTGAACGTCCAGCACGTAGGTCAGGCGCTATGAGTGGGAGCATAGACTCAGTAACTTTACAACGCTCCACTCCATTGCTATATACCCCCCCGCCGAGATGAGGTAGAAGTCGAAACGGTCTCTACACCTGTGTCAACCAGCAGTTCCCAAATGGCTTTCACATCGATTACTCCTTCAACGGGTAGCGTTTAGATGTTACCCTTGCAATATTATGTCTATTAGTCTCCAATTACCTCTCTACCGTTGTTTTTCTTCGAGAGTCTCTTCATATGCGCTCTTTCATATGTTCTCGTCACCATGTGATTCTATGAAAGATATCCCAGTTTGGATCTTTGTTAGTCTATTTAAACACGTGCCTTTTGACACGTGTTCGCATCTTTCGATTTTAGCATTTTCAAGACGTTGCCACTCTTCTATGACTGCCTTTACTTTCTGCATGGTCTCAAAGCAATATAATCACTCTAGGGTTTTTTCTTAACATATTGAAGTGTTGAATTATTCATCATTCACTGAATTTTCTGTAGAATTTTGCTGTAATCTTGGAAAGCTCGGCGGAATATGAGTTCGTGTGTGAGCACAGCCGCTCATATCCGGCAGGCGTCTAATTTTCTGCGTACAGTCGTACTCGTACGATACTGTTTGCTTAAAGCAAGTGATATTCTTTATATTTACGGGTAGACCTTTTGAATAGTCGTTTGTGTGAGGTCGATGTCAATTACTGCTTTACCGTCATTATCAGATATCGTTTGTAACATCGTTTTCTATGGCAGTGCAACTTCATTTTCCTTATACTGTCACGACAAATACTATGCTCAGATTCCATTTTCTCAGACCTATTATTTAACTCTACAAATGAATTTTTGAATATTTTGTGGTTGTGTTTTGTTAGACACGGTATTAACCGTCCTTGTACTTTGCGTGCCGTGATGGTGAAATATTACTGTCTCTTTTTCTTCTATTTTGCAGTTTTAGTTCAGAAGGTTAATGCGCATATGGATATTTGTTCGAATGAATTGACTACACCTTTCAAGATTCCGCATAAAGATAAGGAAAAAGGAAAAGCCTCACCTGCTGTGGCTACAAGGGTGGGTCATTTGATCAGTTTTTTGTTGTTTTTTCGTCATCCTTCGATCTTGTCTTTATTATGTCAATTCCGGGTTTACGACGTGCTTGGTGACTGGTGAAATAGCAGATTCATCTGAGAAAAGCGTGACACCTTTTGTTGCGATATGCTTTTTATAATTTTTATTCTTTTTCTGAATTGTATAACCATCTCTTACCTATTTTTTGTAGGTCTCCTCTAGCCGATGCCCATGATACTCGGGAATTTTCTCAGCGGGATATCCAAACAATCAAAATGCGACAAAAGAAGCGGTATTTGCTTTTGTGTGGTAATTACTGGTTTGAGAAAGTATTGTTGTGGTTCCAGTTATGCCGCCGAACACGCCCGTGAGGCTAAGAAGGCTCGCAAACAACCGGAAACTTCAATTACGCAGGTAGGTATCGTATAACTGCTTTCAGTGCTTGGTTCTATTGGTGGAGATGTTTGGCCATTTTGGAAGTACTTCCTAAAAATTCCTAGTCGTTTAAGGATCCGCTGCTTGGTCGACCAGATTGTGGAGAAATGGCGGCTTCACGGGAAGAAGGGAGCAAAAACGTGAGGTTGAGGAACGGACACCTCAAGTTGTTAATCATGACGCCACATTATCGCGGGAAGCTCTTGAACGTCATGCTCTAGATGACACCATGGCTCGAGAGGTGCGTGGCTCAACTACGAATATTTACTCTCCACTTAATACCATTTTTTCTGTAGTTTTGTTGACATTTCTATATTTTCCTATGTTGTTATTCAGCTTTCGTATTTCTTCAGTTTGTTCGTCGGAATCACTCATGGAGCGCCTCTAGGTGCATAAAATCTTTATGGTCGGCTCGAATCTTATACATCAATGGGTTACGTGAAGGTAGATCCACCACCTGAAAGTGCTGTTCCTCGAGTGAGTAATACCTCCATTTCCCTTTCATTGTTCATAATTTTGATAGCACTTTTTGAGTAATACCTTGCATTCTATGCTCTTTGGTGTCTTGTAGACTGATATGGAAATGGACTATGGTGGTATGTCTGCGCCACGAAGAGGACCCAGAACTCCACCACTAGCCGACGCCCCTGCGGTTGCTAATGTTGAGACTCCACAGCGGCCGAAGCAGCAGCGTGGACCGAAAACTCCTCCCGGGTCACCAGGGGAGCTTGATTGTTGTCACTTAGCATTAAATTCGTATGTTAGTGCTAATTGACCAATAAAGTTACACGGGGTTGCAATTTTGTGATTTTTCAGGGCCCCGAACTCCGCCACCAATTCAACCTTCGCAACCGCTTCAACCCTCAGTTCCTACTTCTACAGCTCCCACAATGCAGTCGTTATTGGCAAATATTGCCGCGATGGCTGGTACCTCAACTAGTCAACTTGCATCAACATTAGGAGAGGATTTAAACAGAATGGTTGGCAGTGTCA